AATAACATGTCTTAAGTGTTGTCAAAAACTAATGACAATCATTGCTATCGAAGTACAGTTTTAAAATGAGAAATAGAATTTAATTGTAAGTTTAGTATGATGTGAATGACACTAACAATGTGAGATGTTCTCTATGCAAACAATATGAAGCTTATATTAAAAAAATTAAAACATTTTTTATTGCTTGGATTTGCCCTGGAACTCCATTCTTTAAAAAAGACAGTTTAAGAATTCACTGTAATAGTATTCAACATAAAGAGGCACAAGTATTCTTGATGATAAAAGTGATTAAAAAATGTGGCAAAAAACACCATTCTTGGAAAGGGTCTATGAAAAATGAGTGAAAAAGATTGTAATTCCATCTAAAGGAAATTCAGCGGTTATTACATGGCCAAAAAGAAATTTTACTCATTTCTCTGATTAATTAGAGCTGTTAAAAAAAATGGCGTTCAAAATCTTGGTAATAGTACTAGATGATGTTATGTATGATATTAGAGATGATTGTACTTAAACAGTGGTTGACCTTCCCTTCAGAAAAAGTTTAATCCTCAATGTGCTTATGTACCTGGTTCTTATAACGGTACATCTAATGCTTTGCTAATGGTAGTTATTTGGTCCTTTAAAAAACTCTCAACTTCAGGTGGGTGTGTTTGATGTATTAGTATTGACTTGAAAAAAGCATTTGACAAAATCTTTCATCTAGCTGTCCTCTTTGCAGCTAAAAATGATTTTAAATTACCAGACACTGTTTTAAGACGGATTAAATTGTATTTATTTCACCGCTCTCAAAAGGTCTCTGTTTCCCGTCTCTCCGACTTTAGTTTGGACTAATACCACTAGAGGAGTTTCACAAGCTTGTGTGCTCTGACCATTTCCCTTTGTCATGCTAGTCAACAGTATGTTGGTCCTTGACCAATCCAGAAGTCTCTTAAATTTGTATGCCGATGACACTTAGCTGTTACATTATGTCGGATGCAATAACTCCGATAATTCTCAGGAAGAAGGTAATAATTTGCTAAGTTGGTTAAGTGCTAAAATGTATGTCAACAACACAAAAACTCGATTGATTTATCCTTAGAAAGTTTTAAGGGTTTGCAAATATTTTTTGCAGGCAGTAGGTTAGAAAACCAACCTTAAGTCAACACTCATTACAAAAACATCCATCAGAATGTTGCGCTGGAATGTCTGCTATCCATTGCCTGGCATCTTTGGCAGCTCTCCTGATTTTATATAGAAAACTTATCTTACCTTAGTCTTTTCATATGGCTTACGCTCGGTCTGTATTTTGCAATATTTCTTGCTCTTAATTTATAAAATTTTTAACCATAGAGAAACATGCAACAATCATATGTAACAAGCGCCCATGTTCAAATCAACCCTCAAAACATCTAGAAGGCATCTGCCTCAGATTAATCAAAAAATTGCTAAATCAAATGATCACCCTCTTCAACCATTGCTTTTAGTCAGACCTTAGCGCAACCATAGCGCAAAATCTTAGGAATTTGCTTTTTTTTCGAATTTTTAACATTTCAAAAATAAGATTTTTGAAATATTAAAAAATTCAGTAGGTGGAAATTATTTAAATATTTGGAAAAAAAAAATATTTGACAGATAAAACTACTGCATAATGTCAAAATGTATTAGATGTCTTCAAGTTGCTTTTTGCTTTGTCAATTTACAAATGCTCAAGTTGAAAATATGTTTTTACAGGTTAAAATCACATAACTAGCTATAATGTTTTTCAAAAATAGGAGAAGAAGGATGTAGTTAGTAAACAATCGTAGTTAATATTTGACCGGGGCCGGGTTTGATAAAATATAGCTGGGACCGGGTTTGTGACCAGGGCTGCATAAACATTTATACATCATAAAGTACATTTTAATTTTTCAAAATTTATGTGTAAAATTTGTATATATATGCATTTATAAACATCATTACGATCAAAATGATCATGATCATCATGATGATGATAATCATCATCATCATCATCATGATCATCATCTCCATCATCATCATCATCATCATCATCATCATCATCATCATCATCATCATCATCATCATCATCATCAGCAGGCTTCCTCTTTTGTGGAAGCCTGCTGATGATAATGATGATGATGATAGCCTTCCTCTTTTGTGCTGTTTCTCTAATCATGGTTAATGCTCAAACGAGTTAAAGTTTTTATAATTATTTAATTGATAATAAAAATAAAGATAGAAACATATATTCATGAAAATATATATTCATAAAGCGCTATGCTTGGCGGTATATTTTTTTTTTTTTAAAACATCTTTGATTCCAACAAGGCTGCAAGCAACCACTAATTAGAGTTAAAAGTTACTAGAAGAGAAAAGATGAAGATTGTAGAGCAAGATAACGATTGACAGACGACTTGAAATATTGCAAATTATATGAATCAGGAAAACAAGATTAAGGAAACGAATTCCAAAAAACTGATGTTCGAAGAAAAAAACTAGTAGAATAAGAGTTTTTGGAGCACTTAGGAACAGTTACAAAAAAAGGATGAGACTTAACTGAATGATGAGTAACACAAATAAATTTTAGTAGATGGTACAAGAGACGCTAGCTCTTTAGAGCAATGCCCATTATAGTATTTGTAGAAATGAGAAAGAGAAGCGACATTACGACGATGTGATAATGGCTGAAGGTTGGCTGCAAGAGCAGGTCCAACTATGTTTACAATGTGTATTTCACCTTGTCTTAAAGAGAAAGGGTATCATTAGAAGATCCGCTCCAAATATGGCAACAGTATTCCATACAAAGTCGGATTTGAGATTTGTTGAGATAGAGAATAGAATTTGAAGTAAGAAAGTGTAGAGCTCGATACAGATACAGCTTTAGCAGATCCTAATTTTGCAATGGATTTGATATATGGTTTCCTAGAAAGATCAGAAGTAAAGTTAGTCCTAGAATATCAAGGGTAGATGATTCATTGAGAACATTACCATTCATAAATATAGGAAGGTCTAAATTAATGCAATAACGATTGGCTGAAAATAATTTAGTTTTATCTGAATTAAAGTTCACCAGCCACTGTGAGCCCATGCTGTAGCAGAAATGAGATCCTTTTCAAGCTCAAATGCCCCCTCCAAGCAACCAGAGAGTGTTGGCTACTAATCATCTTATTATCTAGCACTGAATATATTTTATTACTTTTATAATTAACTAATTGATTAACTAATTAAAAAAATTTAAACATTTAAAATTAACAAGTTTCTCCTAATAAATAATTTTCTGGACCGTTAGTAACAGTTTAGAAATTCTAAACTGTTTATAAAAGTATGTATACAAAAAGTTCCTGAAGTTGTTAATATTACTTAAAAATGTTTTCTATTTTCCAAGAATTTCTAGTTCTTATATTAAAATTTCCAAGAATTTCTAGTTCAATTAAAACTTCGGATTACTTATTTAAATCATTTTTTATTTATAAACAATAAATTGAATGTAAGTTATAAATTACTCAACAAACAATAATTACTCAACAAACAATAAATTATGAATGTAAGTTATAAGTTATAAAAGTAATAGCACTATTATAGTATTATTACTTTTATAACACAGTTAATAACTATAATGTTATAACATTTGTAATCTTAAGTTTCTTATTTTTTTTGTTTTGTTTTGTGTTTTTTTTTTAAATAATTTTTTCGTTAATTAATTTAAGTTAATAGGTCCATTGAAACAATGTTTATGGTTTTGCATAAACTAAAACTAAAGACCAGATATTTTTCCTGATATCGCATTTTGCGATCACTTAATTTAACCCTTGTTTTTCGACTTTTACATTGTTTGTTTATTTAATTTTTTCATTTTCAGTGTTTAGTTGTGTTTTTTGTTATGTTCATTCATTGTGAAGTTTTTATGCTGAATACTGTTTATATCAGAGATGATTATGATTCTAATTGAAAATTTTAAATAGTTACACTCTTTACGATTTTTAATTTAGAATCATAATTATTTCTGATATAAACAGTATGCAGATTTAGAAATCTGAATACTGTTCACATCAGAAACCTGTTTAAGATGCACTCAAATATTTTGGAGGATCAAAGTCTGCCTTTAAGTAAAAATATTTAAGTATTTGTTTTTTATTACAGATTCTGTAGAAAATTCAAGAAAACTAATTGGTAGGTTACAGTTATTTTTTGACATTGTTGCATTATTTCTGATTCTTTGTTTTTATATCTCAGTATAATTTTTATTTCAATAAAACATTTTTTAATCCAATTTAAAAATAATGCAAGCTCAGGTATGTTCCCAGTTTTTACTTTGAGTGTTAATTACAAGTTACTTTAATATTGATATTTTGTTAAAATTTTCTTTTAGTTGTTAAGTTCTGACAAGTTTCCTTTGTATTGTCAATTATAATTTTCATTTTATTTTCACGAGTCTTTGTTTACAAATAAAAAACTCTAAAAATTTCTTATCAATTTTTGTATGGAATACTGTGTCATCTTTTTATCAATCTTTGTAGGTAATAATGTTGTCTTACTTGGGTGAGGTTTTGTAACAAATTCCTTTCTCTTTTAGACAAGATGTAAAAATTTAAAGCCAACATAGATAGACCTACTCTAGCAGCCAAGATCAAGTCTATTATATAAAGTCTATTCAGTTCAAAATTCATCATTACTTCTTGAGACTACCAAAACACAACTTTGAGTTTATCATTTAATAAAACCTAATCTCTATACTGTTCATCTGAAAAGTTTTTTTTTTTATATAATGATTTTCTGCAAACATTTCATGCTTTTAAGCTCTCTCAGCTTCCCTAATTTATAAATTTTACAGCTTTTTAAACCTTCTGTTTACTGTGTTTAGGTCTGTTTAGGTCTTGCTCTATAACTTATATTATTACTTTCTAGTAATTACAAAATTAAATAGCAGAAGCTTGCAACCTTGTTGAAAATTGTTTTAAAAAAGAATACTCAAGAAGCAACTTAATATATTAAAAATCAAAAAAATATATAAAACTAAAACTCACCAAAATGTATAACCACATAAACATGTGACAGGTTTTGCATCATTATATAATGCTTTTATAGCATTTGTACAGTCTGGTGCAGGACACCATTTCATAAGCCGATTACTCTATTATTATAAATATACAAACTATAACTTTTAGATTGAGTTTTAGAAAATTAAGAAAATAATTAAGGAAAAAAAACTAATATACCTGTACAAAACTGTCACCAATTAATTTATGATACTTAGATCTAATAGTAGGGTCCAGCAACACCTTTCTAAAATACATTTAAGAAAATTAAACTACTAACTCAATAAAAACTATAACTATAAAATATGTATTTCAAACAATGAAAAAAATGTTAAAAACAATTTAAATACAAAAAAAAAAAAAAAAAAAAAAAAAAAAAAAAAAAAAAAAAAAACATAAATAATAAAAAAATCCATATGTTAAAGGGATCCCAAATCTCTGAGACATGTTGTGTTCATATTAAAGAGAATGATAAAAAAAAAAGTTTGGGTTAAATTTTTTTAATTAAAACAAAAGAATAAATGCATACCAAGAAAAACTAACTTTTTTATTTTAGTCAAAGCTCGCCTTCTCCATTTTGTTGTAGGTCAAATAGTCTTCATAAAATATAAAGAGCTGCAATCTACAGAGTTGATAGTTTATTCAAGCATGTTTTATTCCTATGAGTTTTAGTACATGATGTCATTGTTTGTGTACATAATTGATCTTTTAAACAAACAAAAAAATCAATGATGCCATGTAGTAAAACTCATAGGATTAAAACCCGCTTGAATAAACTATAGATTATACAGTAGATTGCAGCAAATATTATGAAGACTATTTGACCTACAACAAAACAAAGAAGGCAATATTTTTCTTATCTTTATAGCTGTATGCTAAAAAGCAAAACTAGTAAGCGATTGCTAATCTTTATAGCATATATATATATATATATATTACAAGCAACTCTGTTAAATTTTTTCAAAATTTTATTGGATTTAGGGGGAGCACAAGACCCTTGAACATTTACCCGGTCCCTAATAATATTAAAATTTTTTAAAATAACAATTATTTTATAAAAAAATTATTATTTTAGAGTTTTTTGCAGAAAAATGACCTTTTTTAACCTAAAAATAAAAAAGTGTATTTTTCCGATAATTATTCCAAAAAAAAAATTGAATAATAATTTTTTTTTTTTAGTAATTGTTATTTTTAAAATTTTTAAATTTTAAAAATAACAATTACTTAAAAATATATATATATATATATATATATATATATATATATATATATATATATATATATATATATATATATATATATATATATATATATATATAACTATATTTAAAATCAGTCTTCCTTCATTCTTCTCAACAGCATAAACTCAAGAGTGAAAATTAGTGATCGAATTTTGGATCATTTTTATCGGTATTTCTTGAATTGTTTCCTTGATTTTTTCAACCTATTGAAAAAATCAAGAAAACAATTTCCTTCCTGTTCTGATACTTTTTGATTTTCAAACGATTTTCCACTTAATTCACAAGCAATCACAATGATTAAGCATGGTTTCTTTTAAAGTAATTGGAAATGCATTCATTTTAAGTTAAAATTTGAATTCTTTTGTTAACGCATGCAAAAAACTGTGCTAAAACATTATTACTTTTCTATTCTATAGTATACTTAGTATTTTTTAAGGCAAAAAAATTAAAAAACAAAAACAACTTAAAAGTAACACTGTTGAAGAAAGTAATAATATTTTATCATGGTTTCTTTCAAAGTTTTTAAAATGCATTTTAAATTTTAGCAACTATTTGTTTTTTATTAAAAAACAAGAGGTTTTTTATAATAAATAAAAAATTATCAATTGCATAACTATTTAGAAGAAAAAATTGCTGAAGTAATACATTTGTTTTTAAAATTTTTAAGCAAATGCCAATGTTAGCATAAGTCTGTCTTTTTTTTAAAACAAAAATTTGCACGTTTGTAGACTTTTTGCATCCTGATATACATTTATTTATATATCTATATCTATATTAGTGTTGTTACGACTATTGAATAATTTGACTGTCAACTATTTTTATTTATATTTTCTAAAGTTAACTAAAATCCACAAATACATTTTAAAATTCGACTAAGCCGATTTAGTCGAAATATGGTAATAATTTTTTTTTTAAATAAATTGTTACAAAAATAATAAAGTAACTTATTTTTGCTTTCTATTTTTTAACATCATATCAATGATTGTTATCAACTTTTTAACATCATATCAATGATTGTTATCAACTTTTAGTCAAAGTTGATAACAACACAAACAAAGTTTTTAATAACTTTAACAACTATCTATATATCTATCTATCTATATATCTATATAATATATGCAAAAATAATTTTATAAAGATTTATGGTCGTTTTAGCGCAAAAGAAGTTTATTTAAAAACAAAAATTTGCCACCATTTTTAATTGGACTTTTGTTTTGTTATTAAGATACACAATTTTTTGTTACACAATCAGTATTCAAATTTTTAATCAGATTTTGTTCAAATTTTAATTTTGCAAATAAAGTGGAATTCAAGAGTACAGTTTGCAGATATACAAAGTCCAAAAAAAGCACTTCGGATTTGAAAGACTAGTTTTTCCTAATTTTTAGTATCCAGGAGCTAAAAATTAATACTTTTAGGTTAGAGGAACAATCAATTTTTTAACCCAGAGTCATTGCCGCCATTATACCTAAAGACTCCAGGTTTAAGAACAATAAGTTCCAAGTCATTAAATCTCATGAATTTTTCTCTTATAGCAGATCATAAGTCAGCAAACATATTTGGAGCTTCTAAACACCAAACACCAGGAAAAAATAGAAATATATAGTTAGAGATCTTTAGAGACTCCACATCTCTGGCAGTTTTATTTGTTAAGTATTTGCTTATTAATAATCTTTATTAATAATAATAATAACTATTATTACTAAAATTTAACCATAATTGTCTCATTAAATAATCAAAAACACAAAAAAATATTGCCATTTTTAATTTGATTGATTTTTCAGTTATTAAGTTTTCAATTTTATGAAAATAATATTTTTAAAAAATACAAATAATAATTTTAACAATGGTTTTAAAAGTTAAAGTTATATAAATTTAAAAATGATAGCTAATGTAATTAAAATGTATTAAATTTGTTGATTAATATTTAAAGAAATCATAAATATGGTATACAATGTTTTATATATAGTAGGCAAGTAGCCCACAGGCTATATAGTATCAACGTATTGGGATATATGTAGGTTATGTAGTATGTATGTAGCAGGCTATGTAGTAGCTATGTCCTAGAAAGAATAAATTTAAGATGTAATTTAACTAATTTAAAACCTCCCGATTGTATATATATCTACCTATCTATATATATATGTATATATATATATATATATATATATATATATATATATATATATATATATATATATATATATATATTATATATAATATATATTAAAATATATATATATATATATATATATATATATAATTTTAAATAATTAAATTACCTTTTTTTTATAATCTAACATAATTTAAATTAATTTTTCATACTTTTCTCAACATTTGTATAAATGAATTATGTTTATTACTTTTTCCTTATTTCTTAAAAATTCGGCTTCGCAAATAATGATTTTTTACTTTTAAAAAGTTATTAACAAAAAAAAAAAAATTAATTGTTGCAAAGAAAAAAACTTGAGTTAATACTTTCACAGCAAAAAAAAAAACTAAAGTTAATAACTTTACCATCGCTTTTTTTTTTGTGACAAACAAAGATTTAAATTTCCAAGTATCACTTATTAAAAAATATGTACTGTTGCGCTTTTACTTGCCTTAAGAAAAAAAAATTAAACGTACACTTTATGAATATTTTTGATGCAGTGTTATAAGTTATAACAATGTTTACAAGGAATTTAATTTTTTGTAAAAAATAGAAAAGAACAGAGAAAAAAAGAACAGAGAAAAAAAAAAAAAAAAACAAGTAATTTTTTTAAATCTAAATAACTTTTTAATTCTTTCTTAATTATAAGGAAATTTCTGTTTTTATTTTTTTGATATTGCACAATCTGTAATTTATTTAAAGCTAATATATGTAATTTCTAAACTATTATTTAAATAAAACTTATAAATATATAAACAAAGACATTGAAAGAGCTATATTGCTTCAATCATCAATTCAAGCAAAAAAATTAATAATAGAGTTAAATCTATAAAATAAATTGTTTTTTTTTTATTATAAAAAAAATGAACTATTTATAAGATGCTGTTCAAAGTTTGTAATAATTGGTTTTTTCATTTTTTTGATAAAATAAAAAATTATAAAATACATATTAAAAAAAAAATTATGATAAAAACACTTTGTTACAAAACCATTATAACAAAATAAAGAAAACAAAATTTATAATATCAAAAGTGACACTTGTATAAAACAAAATTTTAACGTGTACTATTTTTTAACTAATAATTTTTTGTTTTGTTTTTTATTTTTTTGTAAATTGGGTAATTATTTTTGTTGTTTGTTATGAGAAAATGCCTTAATAAATATAACTAAATAAAACTAGTAAAATGTGTAAAGTAATGATAAATATAAATAAATATAAGTAATGAAACTAAATAAAGATGATAAATAGAAAAGTTTTCATTAAGTTTATTTTATGATTTCTTTTTTATGCGCTTATAACATCTTTTTTCTTTACATTTTTGATGGAAAAGTTAGGTTAATAAAGATAAAATTTTCTTTTTTTTTCATATCTTATTACATTTGTAAATAGCGCAAATATCCAATGTAATTGTCATGCAAACTTTTTTACGTAATCGCCATTTAAACTTCATAAGTGTTTTTATAACATTAATTACGTTACCTTACCGTTTGTTTAAATATTAAAAAATGATATAAAATGGCTTACTGCGTATGTAAATGGCACGCCAGTTTACGCTTTAAAACAAGGCCTGATATATATAGCCTTCGGAATCAAAGTCAACCTTAAGCAATGCCTAACTGAAGACCTGACAGCAGGTTGGTAGTTTAAACCATGATTTAAACCAATTGAAAAAATATCACTTTAAACCAAATTAATATTTTTTAAACTTGAAATTTTCAGCAGGAAAGTAAACAAGGGGAAAGTAAATCAGGGTAATAATAATAATAAACCAGGAGAATAAATAAACCAGAGAAAAGTTAACAAAAGTTATGTTTACAAATAGAATTATATCTTTCATGTAAATACTTAATGTA